TGTCACCCTGTGGGGCCAGCAGCAACACCTCACACACTGCAAAGCATCAAAGGCACATGTTGAGGCAGCTCTGGCTCAGAGCTGAGGTGGCTTCATCTGGCAAACTGTCAGCCACAGGGTGCAAAAACACACAGGAGAGATTGTCCTGGCCCAGCTTCAATGCTGACAACTGATGTACAAGAGAGACGGTGCCCACCTTACTGTGCAATGCTTCCTCCCACAGCCTGAAGGTGTGTCACATCTCTTGAAGGTGACATTTCAAAGTCAGGCAGATACTTGAGGTGGGGAATGGGCTCATGGCCCAAGGGAAGATATGCCAAATGTGGATACAGGGGTCAGCAAACAGGGATAATTGTGGCTTTGCTGCCATTACATATTGCATTTGCCATTTCTTGGTCCAGGATTCAAGAGAGTTCAAGGTCAGACATATCAACCCATGACTGCTCCATCCATGTGACACCTGGCAGTGTCCCTCTGCCCGTCTCCTCAAACCAAGATCTGCTGTTGCTCAGAAAGTGAAATTCACATCTAATGGGTTGCACAAAAGCAGCTGAACCCACTCCTCCTCACCTTTGGACCCTAAAGCTTCAAACAGGGACAGAATGGAGAACATCATCCCCTGAGTCACCGATGAGGCAGGAGGAGTTGACCAGAGATCTGCAATACTTCTCGGCAGCGCTGTCTCTGGCCAGCCTGGAGGTGTGGGTTTACATGCTTGCTGGATGAGACACGGCACTGACTCAGGAACACAGCATGAGCTGGGGAATGGGAAGGAACAGTTTTTGCATCAATGTTGAAATAAAAGGCCCAGCAGGTATCAGTCACCCTGGGCCTGCCTGAAGCTGTGAAGATGCTCCAACACTCTGGTTTGGCCAGAGCTCCAGGACCTCCACGCTGTTGCAGGCTCATCCCGAAGGAGCAAAAGGAGACACTGAGTAGCAGGGGAGGGGCACCTTCAGGCTCCACTTCCAGCACAGACACTCCTGTATGGCATCACCTCAAGCAGGATGGTGGCTTTGCTGCCTGCTCAGAGTTTCCTATAGACATCACATCTGCATAGCTCAGCAGCTGAACCCCAGTACTACCTGCTCAGAGCCAATCCTGCCATGCCTAGGCGTGTGCTGCACCCTTGAGGAGTCCTATGAAGCACACTCCCCTATGAAGAGATGCATTTTATCTCCTATTGTAACCCTGCTGCCCTGCACTTCAAACCCCTGGCTCTTGCTGTTAGATCAAAGAGCCCTCTCCCACCAGCCACCTCCTCCCTTCATAGTTATAGGTTTGACTCAACAGCTTCAAGCTTTACCCTCAGAAAACTCCCAGGTGCAGCCCCAGCTCACACACCGAGGTGCATGTTGCACCATGGAAACTCTTCTCCAACCCCTGCCCACGTTGCATGGGTTTGGAAAGTGAATGTAAATTCCAGATGGAATCCCTGGGCACTATCCAGAGCTCCCACACCTCACTGGGAGCCCAGGCGGGGCCAAGACCAAACAACAAAGCCAGTAAGAAACGTGCCAGGGGCTTACTTCAAGAGGCTTTAACCAATATACATGTATATTAACAGCAATTCTGCTGCTTTAAAGATGAGAACAACAAAGAAATAATATTTCTCAAAACAGCAAGGAAAATACTAAAACAACAGCAACAAGCTGGCTGCAAGATCTCTGCAGCTGAGTTCTCATTCCTGCAAGGCATAAACCAACATCATTGCAGGGAAAAAATACCCAGACTCTGAGCTGGGCAGTTTATTCCCTGCCTGCCCAGCAGCTTCCTCCACATATCAAGTGTGTGTCACTGTCAAACTGCGGGATGAAACCCCCAGAACTGGGTGCTCAAGGAATTTGGGGGCTCACAGGAGCTTTGTAGCAACAAGTGGGTGCAGGGAGGGGTTTAGTGGCATCCTCACAGCTCAGGGGTGCAAGAATTGAAATTCACTGATCAAGTTGCTCAGAAATAACATTGTGGTAAATGCCCCATCCCTGGCAGTGCCCAAGGCCAGGTTGGACACAGGGGCTTGGAGCAAGCTGCCCTAGTGGAAGGTGTCCCTGCCTGTGGCAGGGGGGTGGAACTGGATGAGCTTCAAGGTCCCTTCCAACCCAAAACAATCTGTGACTGGTCACAACGTGCCCTCTGGTGGCAATGGTGCTGGGGTGGCTTGGGCAGACCCAGACCGTGTCAGTGATGGCACTATGACATTTAAGAACACAAACAACAGATCACCCTTGGGCTGTCGAAATCATGGTGCAGAATCCAACCCCTATGTCAAACTCCCTCAGAGCCTTGGGCTTCCCCTACCCAAAGGGCCCAGGGTCATCAGTTCCCACTGTTCTTTTCATATATGAATTTCAGCAACTTCCCCTCTGGGCCTGGACATCCAGAATAACAGCTCAGCTGGATCTCAATGCTAATGTTCTTCTGTTGTGTGGGGTCACACAATTCAGGGTCACACACCTGGGAATCCCAACTCCCACCTCTGCATGGGAATCAGAGTAAACACACACAAGCTTTTTCCTTTCTCAGTCTGATATCAGTGTGAAAGTGGGATTTGGTGTTGGACAGATGGTGACAGACATAGGAACGTGGGGACAAGCACAGGACACACAAGCACATGGGGATGAGCATGGGAAGAGCTTCCCCAGGGTACCATGCCACCAGCAAGAAGATTTTGATGTCAGATGCTGCTTTTGATCAGCTCTGAAAGCAGCTCACAAGGAATTCCAGTGCTTACAGATGGGAAAATGACTAGAGCTTAGAATAATGCAACACATCACCCCACTAACCGAAGCCCCCTGAGCATCCCACCCAAAGCCCTTCCCCAACCAAAGCCCCATAAGTACAAAGAGTTACAGACTTGAACAATTTGGGTTTCTGAACTTTACCTACGAAGTTTGGGGAAGGAATTCAAAAAGAACATTCCCAAGAGAGCAGAAAACAAGCGCAGGGCTGTGAAGGGTTATTTACACAATAGCTCCCACACATGAGGAAATGGGGTAATGCAGGACATAGGGAGAGAAGCAGCAAAAGGTGTTAGAGGGGCAGGCACCAGCCAGGAGGGGCAGCATGTGGGGCAGAGGGAGGTGAGGGGCTCTACAGATCGGGGGCTGACTCTTCACAGAAGGATGCTGGGTCTCAGTCCATGTCCATGTGTCTGCGCTCTACACGAAGCAGCTCAGTGCAGAAACGCTCCTGAAGGCAGGGAATGAATCCAGGTTTGCTTCATTCTACACAACGGCTGTAAATAACTGACTGACAATGTGACATTACAAAGTACTGGAGACAAGAGGTCAAGAAGAACCTGTCCACAAGCAATAAACCAACCAGGAGTTATGGAACAGTTATCCTGTGCTGTATTTATACTGCACCTTTCCAGTCTGTGAGGTAACACAGGTAAATAATACAATCCTCTCCACTGCACAGATGGGGAGGGAAGGGACTGAGGAGAGTGAGCAGCAGAGACCAGAGCAGAGTGAAGTCCTGACCTGCACGTCTCAAAACATGTGCATGGTGCTCCCTGAGCCCTCCTTGGCATCTTCTGCCCCAAACACTTCAGGATCTGCTCCACAGCACTGATCCCTGATGATCTTTGCTCACCTGCTGAGTGTGTTACAAGGAGAAGATGCTGCCTTACTCAGTACTCTGATGGACACAACGTTGACCACCAAAGCACCTGCCCACACTTTCTTCCCCACTTACTTATCCCCTACAAGTGCAACTCGTTCATTGGTTGAATTAACTGGATGCAAGCTGAGATTCAAGGTCCTGGTACCACAGCAGCAACCAGCCTGAGACTCCTACAGACTTTTCAGGCTCAGCCCAAGCCTGCAGCAGCATCCCATGGATGTTTTCAGTCCTTATGTGCCAGAGTTCACTTCTTCCCATCCAAACAACAAGGGGCTGACAGTTCTCAAGTTATCCAGCAAATTACAACCTACTAAAGTTAAGCACTCGCATGTCCCCCCTTCTAGCTTCATCTACAATGGCATCTTACTCCCTAGCATGTAGACCACCACAAGTCCCTCAGCTGGAAGCCGCCACGGCTCAGCATCTGTTAACACAGCTCTACATCTCTTCTTAACATGCGAGGGGCTGAGACCCTGCCCTACCTCCACCACAGAGCCCTGGCAGGGGTGGACATCCCTGCTGAGTGATAGCAAAGGCGCTGCCTCCCAGCTTGGCAGAACCAACGTGGGAATTCACACAATTCCCTGGGAATTCACACAGGGAAACCCCCCTGACCCCCTCAGGGTAGGTTAAGACCTTCAGTACAGTTCCACTCCAACAGCATCACTTGTCTGTGCGCACCTAAGGCATCAGAGTGACCTCTAGATCACACTTTCTATCTCCAAAATGCCGTTTCCTCCTACCTTTGATGATAAAGCAGGATCCTTCTGCAGGCATCTTCGCTTTGAAGAATCCAGCCTCCCCCTTCCTCTGCCTCGTTGCTTCCCATACTGCTGAGCGGGTTTTGCCGCTGTCGCTGTTGAAACACCAGTGGAAGCCGCGTTCTCACCCCAACCAAACCCGAGCAGCACCTTTCACTTCCAGCGTGGCAGATGTTGTTTACATCGCTGTCTCTCCTCTCTCACATGCAGCAACAGGTTCACACGAGGTTCTTGCTCTCCCACACACGTACCCAAAGCAGGAAGCGAGGGGTGGCAGCTGTAGCACGGTGGTTTCCTGCTCTCTCTTGCCTGAAAACAACGGACACCACAGCTTTGATCTAAGAGATCTCAGCACACGAGCTGGAACACTGAGGCTCGGCCTGGAGCGCGTATTGCTCCACGCAGGAAAGCCCACGGGTACGGGGTCCCTGGGCGCTTCTCAAGCGTTAATAGGGGACGTTTTCCTCAGGGACACGGCTGTTCGTGGGTAGGGGCACCGCGGGGTGTCCTCCCTGGTGCCCCGCACGGTGTGAGGGCCCCGGCAGCAGCACATCCCCGCGGCCATAGAGACGGGCCCGACCCCACGGCCAGGCCGCATCTCCCCCCGCCCCACCTCACACACTACAGATCCCACAATGCCCCGCGCGAACCACCACAGCGCAGCCCGCGCATGCGTACAACTCTCTATAGCGCCAAGATGGCCGACACAGCGACCGGTAGCTCCGGCACGGTAACGGCGGATTCTTACCGGGAAGCGGGGAAGGCTGCGGAGGGAGGATCCCGCGGCACCGGCGGGGCGGCAGCGGATCGGTGCCTCCAGGGCGCTGAGGAGGCTGCGGCCTGCCCGCGGGGCTAAGAGGCGGAGGCTGAGGGGAGGGGCGCGCTGATTGGCTGAATGACCGTAGGGAGGCGGGGTTCGGCAGCTGGATTTGATTGGTCGGGAAGGGGCCGCGAGGCGCGCGTGGCAGCGGGGCGGCTGTTTTTAAAGGGACCGCGTTCTGCGGCACGCTGTGTGTGAGTGTATGTGTGCGTATGTATGTATGTATGTATGTATGTATGTATGTATGTATGTATGTGTGTGTGTGTGAGTGTGTGTAGATATGTATGGATGCATGTGTATGTGTGTATTCATGTGCATGTGTATATGTACATGTGTATGCATACATGTGAATGTATCTGTATATGTACGTGTATGTATGAGTGTATGTACACACGTGTTTTGAAGTATGTATACGTATGATTGTATGCAGATGTATTCATGTGCCTATATGTACGTGTATGTACACGTGTATATGTGTGTGTATGTGTACATGTGTGCGTATAAGTGTGTGTGTGTTTGTGTGCATGCATATGTGTTTGTGTACAGATGTATATGTGCATGTGTAAGTCCGAATGTATTTGTATAGGTATGTGTATGTGTGAGTGTATGAGTACATGTGTTTATGTATGTATACGTATGATTGTATGCATATGTGTGAGTACCTATATGTATATGCATGCAAGTGTGTATATGTGACTATATGTGTATATGTATATATATGTGTATGCATACATACTTGTGTATATGTACATCTGTACATATATATGTGTATATATGTGTGTATGCACATGTACTTGTCTATATGTACATGTATATGTATATCTGTGTGTATATATATGTGTGTATGCACATGTACTTGTCTATATGTACATGTGTATGTATATCTGTGTGTATATATGTGTGTGTATGCACATGTACTTGTCTATATGTACATGTGTATGGATATGCACACACATGCGCGCGGTGCGGCGGCAGGGTCCGCTCCGTGCGCGCTGTCCCAGCGGGGCTGTTGGTGCCGCAGCGGGCGGGTGGGAAGCAGGCGAGCACCCCGGCCGATAACTACTACCTGGCTCGGAGGAGGACGCTGCAGGTGGTGGTCAGCTCCCTGCTCACCGAGGCCGGCTTCGAGAGCGCCGAGAAGGCGGCGGTGGAGACGCTGACCGAGATGCTGCAGAGCTGTGAGTGCCCGGAGCTCAGCCCGAGGCTCCTCTGTTCTCCGCTGTCCCACTGGCTCCTCACGCTTCCATCGTTTGGGTCATTCCCCCCCCCCCCCCCCGGTTTTATTCCCTGGTGTAATAAATCATCCGTGTGCTGGGCTGCATCCTCAGTGCAGCAGGTTCAGCCTGGAGGAGAGAAGGCTCCTTAAGGGGAGACCTTAGAGCAGCTCCAGTGCCTAAAGGGGCTGCAGGAAACCTGGAGAGGGGCTTGGGACAAGGGATGTAGGGACAGGCCAAGGGGAATGGCTTGAACCTGCCCGAGGGGAGACTGAGATGAGCTCTTAGGCAGAAGCTCTTCCCTGTGAGGGTGCTGAGGCGCTGGCACAGGGTGCCCAGAGGTGTTCACGCTTTGATTTTGTTATGCTTTAATTTTACATCCTGTAAGACACTGGATTTTGGGAGCTAATTTTCATTCCTTGCTAAATTTGCCAAAGATTCATTTCTCTTGAAGCTATAAGCATGTGCTCAGTGCCTGACTCAAAGCTCTGGTGGGGTTTCTTGGCTTTTTCCCCCCATAGATATCTCTGAAATGGGCAGGAGCGCCAAGTCCTACTGTGAACACACAGCCCGGACACAGCCCACGCTCTCTGATATCGTGGTTACCCTGGTGGAAATGGGTGAGTGGTTGATAGGACCCCCTGATTCCAGTAGCTGCATTGGTAGGAAGCTCTGTTCCCCCCATTCTGGTGCTTGTGGGCTCTATATAACTGGATGCAGTATGAATACATGCAGAGTGCATCACCTTCTTTCTCATGTAATTTGGAACCCTTGTAAATAAACGTGGTGAAGCTCAAGAGGGGTGAACTGGGGCAGGATAAACTCCTGGTGTGATTCCTGTTTCCTCTTTTGTGTCCTAGGGTTCAATGTTGAAACGCTTCCCGCATATGCCAAGCGCTCCCAGAGGATGGTCATCACTGCCCGTATGTGAGAAATCCCTTCTTTTCTTATGCAGGAAACGGGAAGTAATTTGTCATTTCCCTCTGTTGGTGTCCAGAGAGCTCCAGCTTTTCTGGTGGGGGATGCAGCCAGTGCTCCTGGAAGTGCTGGTTGGGTTAAGGGCTCCTGTAGGTGGAGGGAGGCAGCCTGTGCTGAGTCAGTGCCTTTGCTTTAGTTTTCTCAGTGCACATGAGAGTCCTCAAGGTGGTTTTGTTCTCCTTGTGTAGGAGAGAGGGGCCAAGTAACGCACGTTCCCTTCTGGAATGAGAAACACAGTGGGAAATTACTGCTTGTGGGATGTGCTCTAGGGGAGGTCATAGCTCAGTGGGGGCTGGCACCTTATGCCTCACTCTTGGCAGAGCGAAGCTGCTGATCTGTGTGTGTGCTTTACTGCAGCTCCTGTGACAAACCAGCCCGTGACTCCCAAAGCCCTGACAGCCGGGCAGAACAAGCCACATCCATCCCACATTCCCAGCCATTTCCCAGAGTTTCCGGATCCTCACACTTACATCAAGACACCGGTGAGTGAAAACAGAGATTTTTATGCCATTTGGGACCTGTTTGAAGTCAGTGACAGCACTTGCTGGAGGATTCTGGCCGATTGACATCTCTAACTTGCTGGAAATCAATGTGCACTGTAGGTCAGTACAGGTGGTGAATTTTGGCTGTCTAATGGTGCTCTTTACCTTTCCCTCCCTCCACAGACATACCGGGAGCCTGTGTCTGATTATCAGGTCCTGCGGGAGAAGGCAGCATCGCAGCGGCGCGATGTGGAGCGAGCCCTCACCCGCTTCATGGCTAAGACAGGCGAAACACAGAGTCTCTTCAAAGATGATGTCAGTACGTTCCCCTGTGAGTACCTGTAAATGACAGCATAAGTCCCTTAAAGGTCTTGCTACTGCAGGAGGTGAGTGCTCGTGTTGTGTTTGCCCTTCCAAGGCACTGGAAGGCTGGGAAATGAGGAATTCTCTATTTAAAATGGGGATGAACAAGAGAATCAAAGGCAAGTGGTAGGCTTCCACCCTCACCAAAAGCTCGCTTTCTTCTCGTGGCTGATAGGTGCTAATTTCAAAGCTCATCCCAATCCTGTCTCTCTGCCCCCCTGTAACTTCTGGACAAGTGATTTCTTCTCTCTCACATTCTTGTGGTTGGCAGTGAAGGTTTTCCTGTTTCTCTGTCCATAAAGCAGTGATGAGTATTCCCACTTTCCCAGGCTCACTGACGGCACAGATGCCAAAGTTACCTTGAGGGGAACTAAGCAATGCTTATGATACGGAGGTCAGGAAGGACTTTTTAGGTTGCTGTAATGCTATGTCCTTGGCTGGAATCATAAAGGGGCCTCAGAAAATAGAAAGTTAGAGACTGCTATCACTTAGGGACAGGGATATTTCATTCCTGATCCTTGGGAGCAGCAGGAAAAGAGTGTGTCTGTGTTTAAAACCAGAACCAGTGACAGTGTTCGATCTAAGTAACTGCTTGGCTTTGTGCTTCATGATGCCTGTGTTGAGGAGTCTTCTCCCACCTTGCTGACTGTGTCTTTTGCCCTCACCCTAGTGATTGCTGCCAGGCCTTTCACTGTCCCCTACCTGACAGCTCTTCTCCCCTCTGAGCTGGAGATGCAGCAAATGGAAGAGACGGATTCATCTGAGCAAGACGAGCAGACAGACACTGAGAACCTGCCCCTGCACATGAGCACGGTACGCTCAGCTGGAGAGGTCGAGGTCGCTGGGGCCTGATGTTCTTCAGCTTATGAAACCTGGTTCTTCATCTGTCTTCCTTGCAGCTGGGCAGAGTGGGGGGAAATGGGCAGCGTGGGTTGTGTTTTACCAGGTGTAAATGGCTAAGCACTGTCATGGTTCCTTAACTTCCTGCAGGGTGCAGTGCATCGTGGCCTTTGGTTTCAGTGTGATTGTCCCACACTGTTCCTGAAGAGAGTGGTTCTTGTGGTAGAAATCGAGCCCTCACCTTTAATACAGCTCTGTGTGCTGCTGTTTGTCTTGGCTGTTGCTGTTGCTGATCTGTTTTGCCCATAGCTTATATGGTTTGAACTTCTAAGTCTTGTTTAACCTCACTTTGGTTGTTTTACACGTACGTTGGCAGGATGATTCAGGACCTGAGAAGGAGAACGCTTCGGTGTTACAGCAGAACACCTCCCTGTCAGGCAGCCGGAACGGGGAGGAAAACATGATCGACAATCCCTACCTCCGCCCGGTGAAGAAGCCCAAGATCCGCAGAAAGAAGTGAGGTGTGTGGCCAGTTGGCTGCTCAGAGGAAGAGAAACCTGGAGGGGGTTTCACTTGCACAGCAGCTGGGGAGACGCATGGAGCAAGACAGGAAAGGCAGAAGCAGAATGAGCTCTCTCTGCCTAGTGAACCACACTCTCATCCTGGTCTGCAGTGCTCCCTCTTCTCCCTCTGCTCTCCTGCTGACTTGGAACAATTGCCATAAAAGCATTGAAGGCCACTGGGTTCCAGATGGGAATTGTCTGGTTTACTTTGGTTTGTTCTCACTGTCATAGGATTTACTCTCGGAAGAGATGGGGGACATGGAAGGTTCTTGTTGCTCAGTGCATCCCCATGGGCTCTGCAGGATACAAAGGCATCATTCATTTGTGGCTGGCTGGCAGGCTAGGAAAGAAACTTCTGCAACCAACCCTGCCTGGCCCTATAATCTAAGGAGCATGTATTAAAAGAGGCAGAAAAATCCCAGAGAGGTTTCTTTCTTTGGATTCTTGGCAAGTAAAAGCAAACAGACTTTTCCTTTCTAAACTAAAGGTGGCTGGTGCATCGGTAAGAGAGTGTACAGAGTGAGGATGGCATTTTATTCCCACTTTTCTGTCTGCAGCTGCACTTCAAAGTGCTTAAGTGTGGTGTTTACCCTGTTCTGCTTTGAGGATATTTTCCAGCGGTGTGAATGGCAGCATTCAACAGCTGCTTCAGGCTATTTTTCAGTTCTATTGTTAGTTTCAACACAGCACAACTCCTTGGAGAGTTCCTGCCTCCACCAGTTGGTTTGAAAGATGCTGTGCTAAAAAACTTGGAATACAGAATAAAGCTGTATGATAAAGCAGTCCACAAGGCCATTCTATTGATTGCACTTTATTTTGCCCAAAACACAAGCTTTTATCAATAAAAGTTGCTCTTTTTTTTTCCCCCCTCTTTATTTCCCTGGAGCAGAAGACTTTATTTCAGCAGTGAAAATAACTGGTGATGGAAGTATTGTAATTGTTAGCTCCTTCTGGATGGCTTTGCTTTCATTTTCCTCAACCTTTTCTTAGGCAAAATATAAGTTAAATTCCTTTGACAGAAGACTCCTGTAGTTCGATCCGGGCTCCAGAGCATCTCTTCTGGATGAGAGCGTGGGGCAGGGAGAGGCAGCAGAGGCTTCCAGGCAGCTCATGGTTTCCTAGAGGAGTAGCTGAGTGCAAGGAGCCTCTTGCAGCCCCCACGGAGATCAGGGTTCTGTGTGTACATATTGAGGCATCCTCCCAAGCCTCCCTCTTCCCCATCACTCATGGAGGAAGGAGATAAAAAGGAGGATTGTTTCAGTGAGGAACATTCTGGACTCGGATCTCTAGCAAAAGAAGCCCTGTGTGTGCCATTGTCACTTCTGCGGTGCCTTGGTTGTACAGAGATGTTGTGTATGTTTGTATATATGAAAATGTTTATCTTTTTTTACTTGGATTAAGCATTTTTGGTAATGAGAAAGCCCCTCTGGGGAGGGGGAAAGTGTAGAATGAAACCTGTGATTTCTATGTTCATAATAAAAGAAACTTTATCTCCTACAAGCAAAACTGGCCGAGTCCTTGAAGTTTTAGGGGTGGAAAAGCATCTGAAAGGCATAAACCCCAGGTCTAAGACAGTGAATCGTACCCCTTCCTGCAAGAGATGGCAGCTGCACATCAGCAAGTAAATCCCTTTGTGACAGCTGCTGCTACAAAGCGATCTCTTGTGGTTGTGAAGGGGCCAACGTGCCTAGGAAAGAAGCAGCTGTTGCAGGGCAGATGTGAGAGCACTTGAACCCCAGAAGTGGGCAATTGGAAGAACGCATTTTGGTTTTATAGCTGAAACTGGGCTACAGGTAAAATATGCTACAGAAACACGTAAATAGACCCAAAATACCTGAAAGCCTGCATCGTGACTGGGAGTGACAATGAGAACGAATGCTGCCTGCCCTGAGCTTTCCCCTGAGGTTGAATCAAGCCTGGGATCACACAGATTGAGTCTGTGTGTGGAGGCTTGTAAACGTTTATAGCAGTCCCTGGGGTCTGAGTTGTACATTACAGAAACAAGTGATGATGAATGCCAGGACCTTTCTGTTTCAGGCTAAATTTAGCTTAATTAGCAGCATGTTGCTGGAGAACATCTTCTTCATGTCAAGAGGGAAAAAGCTGGTAATGCAGAAGCACATCATCCAGGGTCTGAGCCATCCCATCCTCTTACCCTCAGATGAGTGCTACTTAACAGAGCTGCTGGCTGTGCACAGAGCCTGGATGTACAGCACCAGGTAAACACAAACAGTGACAAGAAACCTCTCTTTCTGCAATGCTTTTATTTGGAGAGGCTGCCTAGTGCAGATGAGCGTCTTCAGGAGGAGATGGGAAGCAAAGGTGAGGCCTGAGGTGCCCCTCTGGGAGAGGGGGACGTGGCAGCAGCTCTGGCTCCTCAGCTGAAGTATAAACTCAGGTAGGCCACTCGGTTCCGGTGTCTCCTGAATTCTCTGTCTATGGTTATCTAAAAGACAACTCTTAGCTATTGGTGATGCCAAGTGCTTCAGAGCAGCACAGGAAGGTGTGAGATGGTGTCGAGAACCTTAAATCTATGTTTCAAATGGGAAAGGCTTTGTTTTCAGCAGATAAATCTGTGCTCTGGTTTCCTCTCTTTGTGGATGGAAACTTCCTGAGCAAATGTCTTAACAGAAGGGGGTTATTTTGGAGGACAGTAATTGTTTTTGCACTTCTCAGATAGAAAATCACTTTATATCTTGTGCCCCAGGCTCATAGAGCCATGTACCCAGCAGCCCAGTGAGGAAATGATGCCAAAACACGGTGCAAACACAATGTAGCCATATAATTTTCTCTGTCAGAAGCATTAAGCAAGGAATAACATCCCCTTATCCCTGTCCTTACCTTTTGTACCTCCATTTTTAGCATCCTCCTTGGTGGCATCGGCACTAAAGACCAGTCTGGGGAGCCAAACTTCATCGGCCAAGTGATTCTTTTGTGTAATTGCTTGTCTGCTTCATAAGTTCCAGGTCTAAAGAAAACAGGCACAGAGTAGCTTGTTTCTGGATCTGGAGTGTGATGGTTGCAGTACCAGAAGTTACCCACCCTACCTTGACCCATGGGAGGAATGCGTGTTGTGGTCTTCCAGGCGTGCAGAAGACTAAAGACTAAAGCAGGGAAGCTTTTTGAAGTTAATAAGAGCATTTCTTGGACCTCAGGAGCCCATCTCCCGTTTATGTCTTAGTATTTCTCTCTGCTTATGATGGAAAACACAAGAAAATGAGTTACTTTACCCAGGGAATAATTCCCTATCTGAAGGCTTATGTGGAAATCGCGGTGTCTTAGTGTAAAACGGAGCATAGGCAGGCTGGCATTCCCTCTCTTTCTTCCAGAATGGGTGGTAGGTTGCTGGGCTGGGAGTCACAGTCTGCAAGAGAGAAGATTTCTATAGGGAAGACCATTGCTGTATGCTGTGAGCAGCAGCCTGGGCATCACAGACCTGCTGTTCAGTGCATGCTCTGATGGCACAAACCCCCTAGAATAGATCAATTCTATACTCCCTACCCCTACCCAGTGTGTCCTATGATGTCTCTCCTAATAAAGGGTTATTCTAGAGAGTTTGGACCAGAAAACACTAGTTTGTTCAGGCAGGAGAGCTGATTTTGCCTCAATATGTCCACTTACATGTGTGTGTATGTGATACAAAGGAATGTGTTCCTACAAATGCATATGTGGATGTTGCCAGAGCTCATATGTTCAATGATCAGTCCCTAGGCTCAACACCTACCACCACACTATGTGTAAGGAGATGTGTAGCCACCGTATGTAGTAAGTTGGAGGCAGTCCCAGCAAATGGGATCAAAAGTGATCTCTGTGTTGGGAACAGCCTCTTGCAAAGCTGCAGCTCTGCCACTTCACCCCGTGCCTTTCTTACCTGTGGCTGTGTTTGGAAACGCTGGGCTGTCCTTGCTCCTATCACATAGCCTCTGGTGCTCACAGGTTTGTTTTCCAAGGAGTACCTGAAGCTGCTTCTCTGCAATACAAAAGCACAAGTGTCTTGCTGACACCACTTGCATTAAGGCAAGGGCAGAAGGACTTGAGCAGCAGACGTTATTTTCCTATTGATTCCTCTCCTTGCCATGGTCTTAGTGCTCCTGTCCTAGGTGTCTTCCATGAAGGAAAAGCTCCGAGCAGGAAAACTGCACTCACCTCTTGGCTCAGGTAGCAGCCTGGCCCAAGCGAAGGTTGTCCCCTGATGGACTTCAGCTGGATTCCCAGCCTGTCTGGAGCATCGTGCAGAGGGAACATTTTCCTCTCTTGGCATGTTCCAAATGAGATCGGCTTCTGCACGTCTGGGAGACCAGGAGATAAAACCAGGTCCTGCTTTTTTTTCCCTTCTTAGGTCCCTGAGGCTGAGCATCCCTTTATCTCCCACATAGGAATTTCCCCTGACCTATTAGTGCACCCTTTGGATGCCTGTTCCCTCCTGCTCCAAAGGCTTCCTTTGATCCCAACCTCAGCAAAGAGCAGCTTAGCAGCCTGGTTGTGGGAAAGCCCAATGCCACCATGGCAAAAGGAGCCCTGGTGCCCGCAGGACTCACCTCTCCGTCCCCCCCCTGCTGCCATGCTGCCGGGCTCAGGGGTGTGTGTACTCCCCGGTTGCTATAGGCACGGAGCAGGGAGTGCTGCAGGGAATGGTGAGGATGGCAGCGCCTGAAGGGTGCAGGGAAAAGAGGATTAAAGGTGTCCCTGTGGGTTGTGCTGTGATGACTCCAATGGAGGAGCTGCTGTTTTCACACTGTAAAGTCATAGGGAAGAGGTCTCGGGGGAAGCAGGCAGGACCCTTCTCCATGCTCTCCTTTGTGACACAGCCCCATCTGCCCCATTGTCCGCTCTCTTTATCCCTCTGCCTTGCTCTCATGGGAGGGCACCAAGAAACACTTGGGAAATGCCATCCTGGAATTAAGACCAGCTGGTGGATTCAGGCCCTTCCCTGGGTACAAGTGTGAGCATCATGAGAGTATCAGGGGGGACACAGGAACTGGGGTCAGGTGCTGCAGGTCCAGGAGTCCCTGTGACCTGAGCTGTCTTTTATCCTATAGGATATCTATCCTATAGGATCCTATATTCTATAGGATCCTTTTCTCCTATAAAAGCTTGTTTTATTTTGCTGTTTGCACGATGCGATGCTCCTAGGGTGGGATTCTGGGTCTGGAGTGGGTGATATATAGGGGATGATGAAAGAGCTTTCCCATGGCACCCTCCCATCTCCTGTGAGATGTGTTTGTCAGCTGGCTCTCAGCAAACTCTCTAAAACCTGCTGTTTTCCCCCAAAACCTGAATCACCCTGGACCTGCCAACCTTGTGTGCACAAGCCATTGCTTTAGGGAGGTGGTTTTGTTCTCCCTGCCCTTGCTGTGGAGGGGACAAGCGTGCAGGTCAGTGAGCTATCCATCACAAACGCATCCCACGTGTAGGTTTTGGATGGGTGGGAGAAGCTCTGGGATGTTGCCAATGGAAACCTGGGGAGAGCTGTACCTGGTTTGGATCTGATGTTCCTCACTGCAGGCGGGCACCTTGCTACCACCATGGAGGCTTTCTGCTGCCAGAATGCTCCTCCTTAGTGTGGAGTGGTGCTCCTGGAAACTCCTTGGGAATTTCCTATGGGATTATACTCCAGATATGCCTGCATGTACCTATATACATATAGCCTGTGTTGGGAGTAGCACAGAGAAGCTGTATTTGTTGGAGTAATCTAGGAGCAAGCATGAGCATCGCTATCTCCTATGTTAGACGTTTCTCCCCTTAATGATGGACACGTTTCCAGCTCTGGAGCCTTTTCCTCTCATTTCTTTCCCAAATGGTTCATGGAATGTCTGAAGCTTGTTTGCTGAAAGCTTCTGTGGAGGAGATGTGTAATCCTGATGGCAAAACAGAGGTAAGCTCCTTCTGCCGGCTTCCTACTCTTTGCCTTTTGAGAGAGTCATTCCATGAATCCAATGAGGAAACTGAGTTAAAGGAAGAGGTTTCCCTGCACATGCAGCAGGGAAGTTGGCCCTGAAAGCACCGCAGGAGGCAAATCAAAGCAACGTTAATACCGTTTTAACCAAGGAGAGAGCATCTTCCCCCGGCTCCACAAGGCTCAGCGGCTGGGTGCTCTCAGCAATTGCAACACCCAACGGTAGGTGTCAATGTTGCTCGCTCTTCCCTGAAGCTGGAATTCCTCCCTCGCAGCTTTCGGATAGCATTTCAGGAAGCAGTGGGCTTGCAGGCCACGAAGCTTCGCTGCTGCTCCTCTCTGTTCCATCTCAAAGACAGAGCCGAGGTTCGCAGCCCAGTTGTGGCACTTCCCGATACAATGGATGCTCCATTCTGGCTGCAGGGAAACAACCGGGATAAAGGTTTGCTCGGTTCATCCCTCCAGAGCTGTGTAACCTCCATAGGACATGGGTGGGTTAGAGCAAAAGAGGAGCTATTGAGCAGTCGTTTTGCTGATAAGCTCAGGAATCATCGCCTACAAAAGAGCATCCCAGTGCCTTGGCAGAGTGATGCTAAATCCATGCTTTTGGGCTATCGCAGGTGTTTAACTCGTTTCCTCATATCTCTAACAAAGGATTTAGGCTACTTTCTCCTTCACCTTTCCTTACCAACACAGTGAGTATTTACTACAAGGGGAAATGTCAGTTTATAGCTGGAAACATTCATTTCCCTGGCTCCATGCTACGTGTGTGCATGTAATGTGCCTGTTCAAGTGGCTTTGGGTGAAGCACGCCTAAATCTTATGTGGCCTTGGCATAAGTCCCTTATTAATCCGCTGGGAAAAGGGGATTTGGAACCACCTCTGTTGTGTGTAAGGTTCCCAGACCTTTCTCTGTTCGGCATTGTGGAGCAAGCCCTGGTTTTCACCCTGGCAGAACATGAGACAAAGCAGCCCCAGCAGATGAGTCACTGCAGTGGTGAATGTCACATCCTGACGGCAGCTCAGCAGGTCCCAACCACTGCCTGCTTTGCCTCAGAGCTCAATATGCTTGATAAGCATTTTATCATGAAGATCAGAGCGCTGTTATCTCCTCCTTCCTGGCAAGCTACATCTGAATCCTGCCGCCTCCTTCCTGGCCATAGCAACAGCTTCAAACTCCTCCCCAGTGCTTGAACCTTCTGGGGCTCAGCTCCTGCTCCAAGGCCCGGAGAAGGGAATGTCCTGCTGATGCCAGCACATGTCAGTGGCCTATAAACTGCCTAAACTGTGCTGTGTCAAATAGTGAACCTTTGGGAGCAGCCAAAAGCAGGCAGAACAAAACCAGCGACTCTCTTGTGCATAAATGCCTGCAGCAAGCAGTAATCCTTTATCTTCACTTCACTCAGGGGTGGGTTTATGTCTTACAAGGTCTGAGCTTTTACCTTGCTTTGTTGGCAAAGGGTTCCCTGCTTGGCTTGGCTTCAAATCTAGGAGGAGGAATAGCAAGGAATCACTGATGCTACTTTGAGGTGTGCTGCTTCCAATGCTCAGTTTGGGAGGTGGCAGGAAATAACGCGTTCTTCCTCTGGGTCCTGTTTTAGACAGAGGGATGGTGGAGTTTCTTCTTGTCAAAAGTGGGGTGAAAGGTACCCAGAGTCTGCTCATCTTGGACCCAAAAGAATAACTGGGACCCTCTTTGCCTCAGCTTTATTGCTCTGCACGTCCTGAGGTTGGGAGTGTGACAGAGCATTAAGGAACGATGGCCAGGGTGGCAGGGACCAAAGATGTGACAGTCGGGCTCCACTTCCAGTCTGGTCTGTACGCCCTTGCTGAACTCACAGCCACTGTGCTATGATGCCTGTAAATGGGGTAATGAAAATGGGTCTCTCCTTCCTCCAAGTCACGTATCCCTGTGCAGCACCCAGAGCTGGCGGTGCCTGGGGTGACAGGACCTGGGAAAAAGGAGGTCGCTGGTCCCAGTCCCTTTCTGTTCTGAACACATCCCTCGGTCCTGACGCTGCTGCCAGGAGCAGCATCCCATGGGAAGCGCAGCCGGAGCCAGCGCTGCTACCTGCAGCCTGACATGGTCTATCCAGGAGCACAGGCTCGGCAGGAAATGGCTGGTGTTTGGATCCACGGCAAGAAATGAGGAGCTTCAGAGCTCCTCAGGTTCCCTCCTCCAGCAGCAGGCCTCGGGCAGGCACCCTGCCCATACAGGACAGCCAGGAGAGACTTGGATCCCTTTGATTCCTATGCCCCTGGCTCATTTGTTTAAAGGTCTTTAGTTTTCAGCCTGCTCTCCCCAGTATTAACCATTAACTCCTCGGGACAAAGCCTGGATCTGTTCTGCTTCACCCCATCCTCCTGTTGGCATTCGCTCTCCCTTCTCCCCACCGCTCAGCGAGTGGAACCGGAGCGGTGCCAATGCTCCGATCCCTGCCTCCCCGGGGGAAATTCTTGCCTTGTGCGTGTACCTTCCCAGAAATACCACCTCTGACTCAGCCAGGTTACGAAACGCTGCAGCCATTTCCCCCGCTACTTCTGCTCAGCCTCATCACTGATTCACCTCTGGTCCCAGGTGTGTTTCCCAAGGGCTCACAGGGCTCTTTTATGAGGGATTTGACGCAGCGACTGCAAGCGCCCATTGCGTGTTCTTCCCTCCGAGCACATCTTTCATCCTCCTTGTTCCGTTGGCACCGAGCTGCTTTAATTAGGCTCTCTAAACAAATCTCCAGCTCCTCTCTGATGTCGTGAAAGGCTCCGACTTGATTCCTGACCACCCCGGTCCCCAAATAACCCCCGACGGGGCACTGCAGGCATCCTGCTGACGTCCCCTGCCGCTCGGGATGGAGGCAGCGAGCTCAGCCTTGCCGGTGGCATAGCGCGCTCTGTGCCCCGCAGCTCCTTCCACCTACTTGCATCCAGGTGTTGGTCCCAGGAATCCTTTGCCCTGTCTGTGAGCAAGTGAGGACAGGCCCTGGAAAGGGGCTTGTGTGCATAGGGGACAGGTTCACCACCTGCCTGTCCCAATGCAGGTGTGTGCAGGTGGGCAAAGCCTGCTGCGAACGGGTTAGAGGGATGAGCATGCACCCAGGTGTGCCTTTAGCTGAGGAGATGCCACACGAAGAACCCTTTGTTGGGGCTGCTCTGGGGTTTTCTGCCTCGGTTTTTATGTTACATGGCGTTTCTATAGGCATTTTATGTGGGTTTTGTATAAAATTCATGAATTTAATAAATTTCTTCAAGGATATAATCTCCAAACCCCCCACTTCACATTGATAATGCCTAAACTGTCCTAGGCTATTCCTTAAAGAAACATCAGCACCAAGCACTCCATCTTGACCTTCCTGCAGTCAGGATTCCCACTGGCAGCTTCAATCAGGCTGCTCCATGCAACAGGACCTGTTTTCCCCATCTATCTCATCCCAACAATCCCCATTATCCGTGAGGGAAGCCCCGGATGCCTCGGATTGGGAGCTGAGCCTATCTGAGAGCATTGGGTGCTAACACAGAGCCATAGATCTGGTCATCCCCATTAACCTCAAGCAGGGCACAGGACCTTCCTTTCCAGCTTCTCCTTGTTCCCCTGAGCCCTCCAGAGGAGGCTCAGCCCCAGCCCAGCACCTCCGCTCCTCTAATCCCTTCCTAAACTCTCCTGCTGAGCCCGCATCTGCCCCAGCCCCATTCCCAAGCTCCCCATCCTGAGCCATCTGTGCAGGGAGGAGATAAACTCCCATGGAACACCGACCAGGAGAGCTCTGGAGCAACTGTTGCTGAGCCGATGCAGGCGGGGAGGAGCTGCCTCCCCGCTGTAATCCAGTGGGAAGAGCAGCTGGCTCTAAGCGCATCCCAAAGGAGCCGCGCTCCTCTCGCTGACGGCCGCTCTCGCTCCATCAGCGTGATAAAGGCTGTTGGAAGAATTCAATAGCGCGTTGGGCCCTACAGGTTCTAGCAACCAAATAGCCCTTAAATAAAACATCCAGCGCTGGAGCAGCGGCTTTAGATCCCCTTCGACCTC